AGGTATAAAAGCTATAAAAGGCAAGTAAATAGGGCAGTGTGTGCGGGGAGTCTATGCTCCACCAACATGCACACGTGAACATCAAACATTCTAAATATACAGAACATTGCTTTTACATACTAAACCTGGGTACACCTATACATATGTGCAATCAGAAAAGGTAACAAACAATCCTTTAAGATCCATTACTTAACAGTCTCAATCTTCCATTCCTTTTATTGATTACAAACAAGTCTCCATTTTCCATTCCTTTTGAACAATATGTTTCGCTTTAAGTTGTCAAGCAACTCGGTCTTCAGGTCTTATGTATCCTGTTCTTCCCGGATCAAAGAAAAGCATATCCATCTCCTTTTCAAGGCCAATGAGGCCTGGGTCGAAAGGCACGTTTAGGCCAACAGGGGGCGTAACAACAAAAGCCTTTGACGGCTGTAGTGGCAGAGGGGCCAATGGCATAGCAGTCGGATCAGCAAAGGAGCCCACAGCTCCCTCACTATCTGGTAAACCACACATCTCTGACTGTGGTCCCACATGGCTCTTCAAGGCCTCAGGGATTGCTCGCCAGGTGCCGAGCAATCCCACTGCAACCTTGTCATTTGTAGTTGCAGAGTCCCACACCTTGACCTCAATTTGGTCCCATGTTTCAGGCTCATAAACTGTCCAATTGTTAAGAAGGAGAATAAGCTGTAAGGTTACCAGGACAGTCTTTGTTCCTAAGGACATATGATTCCCCATAACGCGCAACTGCTGACCAGCGAGGGGCAGTTGTGTGCACATGTCCGCTTCTCTCAGCTCGAGCTTCTCTCCAGCTCCGGTGCGCCAATTTCCAGTGACTTTCTGTACAAGCTTCTCTGAGCAGTTTGCTGAGTTTGGCCAAACCTATCTTCATGGGGCGATCAGTGTGCCTGTTGCTCTCCTGGTCTCCATTCTGCCAGCCTGTTCCTTTTCATTCCTTCTTTCTGCTTCTTTATTGATGACATAACTTCATCACATCCTGTTGCCTTTTTTTTTTTTTTTTTATCTTGAGGGCAGGCTCCCCTCTTATATATACCCTTGTCTCCACAGCAGTTCTTTTCAAAAACAACTTTTCATTGGTCAGACAACTTTGAATGTAACAACAACAGCAAACACCCAGAAACTTCCATGGCTTAAGGGCTGGAGAACAAGAAACCTGAAAGAGACTGCATGGAGTCTCCTGAATCACCCTTCTTTGTTCCCGCTAAACTCTTTTATATTCCTGATGGCCTGGTCGTTAAGAGTCTAATGTTATCTCAACCACAAGGCTTTCCAATCCCCATGGCCACACTCACAAATCTCCCCCTTCTTCATTAATATCAACCATTTTCTCGACATGAATTACCATTCCATATATAACACTGGGAAGCAGCTTGTGGATGCAGAGGGCATCCCTGGATGAACCTATATGGGATTAATCAACCAAAAATATTCCTCCCTTCATGGAAGGGGGCAGATTTAGCTTTGCATGGGGGTCATTGTCCGCTGGAAAGGATTCTTCCTCCTCCTTCCAGCACCGTTTGCTTATGTGGGAGATGCTCAGCCCCTTGACTTCTCCTTCTGCTACTCTGTGCAGGTTCAATATCCGGGGCAATGGCCAATGTGCCTACATCAACAGTGATGGGGTCAGCAGTGACTGGTGCTCCCAGCTGAAGTTTTTGGTCTGCAGCCACCCCCTGAAGAGCCCCAGGGGAGCGTGGAGGGGAGGAGAGCCCTGAGCTGCCCCCTTGCAGCATCCTCCTGCATCCTGGAGTCTCTTCCAAATTTACACCATGAAGATGATGAAGAGAAAGCTGCTACCACTAAACCCCCTTGTGTAGGGTTCCTGACGGTGCTTTATTTAAAAAAATAAGTATTAATTTATTTTAACTTCAGCTTGCAGAAATAGAAACTCCTTGAAGCAACAGCATGGAGTTCTGGGATCAAAGGATCCTTCAGCCACTCATGTCTTTGAAGCACTTCCAGAGAGACTTGGGAATATCCAAAAGGTTTGGAAAAAACATTTGTCCAGCACTCTGAAGCTTGAGGGCTTGATGCCCTTGTTTGTGGGATTCAGATGTAGGAGGAGAAAGGGAAAGTGGAAGAACGAAGCAGAGCTGGGAGAAGCCACCAGCCTCGAAGCTCTGGAGCTCCTTTTTGGCATCCCGGTGCCGTGTTCCATCCCGTTTGTGCCTTGTCGTGGCTCCCTCAGTTGAAGCTGTGCTTAAATCTTGGTGGCCTCTTTCTGGCAAATCCAATGCAACGGCGCGCTGCACAAGTGGGAGCGGAGCTGCCCCTTCAATATCGCCGCACAGGCATTCACCCTCCTTTCCCCCATCACCTGCAGCCTGGGGAGCACCGTAAGCAAGATTTTAATCAGCCCAACAGAAAGAATCATAGAATCATAGAATCATAGAATATCCTGAGTTGGAAGGGACCCTTAAGGATCATCAAGTCCAACTCTTGACACCGCACAGGTCTACCCAAGTTCAGACCATGTGACTAAGTGCACAGTCCAATCTCTTCTTAAATTCAGTCAGGCTCGGTGCAGTGACCACTTCCCTGGGGAGCCTGTTCCAGTGTGCAACCACTCTCTCTGTGAAGAACCCCTTCCTGATGTCCAGCCTAAACTTCCCCTGCCTCAGCTTAACTCCGTTCCCGCGGGTCCTGTCGCTGGTGTTAATGGAGAAAAGGTCTCCTGCCTCTCGACACCCCTTACGAGGAAGTTGTAGACTGCGATGAGGTCTCCCCTCAGCCTCCTCTTCTCCAGGCTGAACAGGCCCAGTGCCCTCAGCCGTTCCTCGTACGTCTTCCCCTCCAGGCCTTTCACCATCTTTGTAGCCCTCCTCTGGACACTCTCCAACAGTTTCATGTCCTTTTTATACTGTGGTGCCCAGAACTGCACACAGTACTCGAGGTGAGGCCACACCAGCGCAGAGTAGAGCGGGACAATCACCTCCCTCGACCTACTAGCGATGCCGTGCTTGATGCACCCCAGGACACGGTTGGCCCTCCTGGCTGCCAGGGCACACTGCTGGCTCATATTCAACTTGCTGTCTACCACGACCCCCAGATCCCTCTCTTCTAGGCTGCTCTCCAGCGTCTCATCGCCCAGTCTGTACGTGCAGCCGGGGTTTCCCCGTCCCAGGTGCAGGACCCGGCACTTGCTCTTATTGAACTTCATGCGGTTGGCGATCGCCCAGCTCTCCAACCTATCCAGATCCCTCTGCAAGGCCTTTCCATCCTCATTCGAGTCCACAACTCCTCCAAGTTTGGTGTCATCTGCAAACTTGCTCAAAATACCTTCTATTCCTACATCCAGATCGTTTATAAAAATATTGAAAAGTATCGGCCCTAAAATGGAGCCTTGAGGGACCCCACTGGTGACCGCCCGCCAGCCTGACGCAGCCCCATTCACCATAACCCTTTGGGCCCTGCCCGTTAGCCAATTGCTCACCCATCGTATGATGTTTTTATTTAGCTGTATGGTGGACATTTTGTCCAGTAGGATCCTATGGGAAACCGTGTCAAAAGCCTTGCTGAAGTCCAAAAAAATCACATCAGCTGGTTTCCCTTGGTCTACCATACGGGTGATCTTATCATAAAAGGAAATCAGGTTAGTTAGGCAGGACCTACCCTTCACAAACCCATGCTGGCTGGGACCAATGACTGCATTGTCCCCCAGGTGCGCCTCAATACGTTCGAGAACCATCTTCTCCATGATTTTACCAGGCACTGATGTGAGACTGACAGGCCTGTAATTGCTAGGGTCTTCTTTCTGACCCTTCTTGAAAATCGGCACAACATTTGCCAGCTTCCAGTCTACCGGGACCTCTCCAGATTCCCAGGATCGTTGAAAAATAATTGAGAGAGGTTCTGCGATGACGTCCGCCAGCTCCTTCAGCACCCGGGGATGAATCCCATCCGGACCCATGGACTTGTAGGGATCCAGGTGGAGTAGCAGATCCCACACACGTTCAGGGTCGGTTGGGAGTTTGTCATCCCCACCGTCCCGGTCCTCCAGCTCGGGGCACCCTGGGTCCCGAAGCCCATCATCGGCATTGAAGACAGAGGCAAAGAAGGCGTTAAGCGTCTCTGCTTTGCCTATGTCATCGTCTGTGAGAAGACCTTCCCTGTCAAGGAGCGGCCCTATGTATTCTTTAGTTCTCCTTTTTCCATTCACATATCTAAAAAAACCCTTTTTATTTTCTCTCACAGACACAGCCAGCTTCAACTCTAGGTGTGCTTTAGCCACACGAATTTTCTTCCTACAGACACGAACAGCATCCCTGTATTCTTTCCATGTCACCTGGCAAAGAGCTTGGATGCTGCTTCCAGCAGCAACATTTCATCTCTTCAGATGGTTGTTTAGCCCCCCAAAAAACTTTAACCAAGTCAGCCATTCAGCTTGGAGTGTACCACCCTGTTTGCCTCCTGTTTCTCCAGAGAAAGCAATTTTCCAGCTTTTGCCCCACAAAAAAAAAAAAAAAAAAAAAAAAAAAAAAAAAAAAACACAAACCAAAACAAAACAAAAAAATACAAAACAAACAAACAAACAAAAAAAAAAAACAAAAAAAAAACAAACCAAACAAAACAAACAAACAAAGAAACACAAAAAAAACACTCGTTTCTCCTCCCCATACACCCTCTGCTTTGTTAATAAATATTTATCTCTCCCAAAAGCTCTATTTTTTTTTTTTTGGATATCAAAGTCAATGTGGCTACAGGAGGACCCCAGCTGCAAAATATCCCGGATTGGGGCATCTCCTTTTTAACCAGTTGCAATTTCCCTGCCTGAAATTACAGGGAAAATATGTAGGAAAAATGTTTTGATCACTTCTTCCTCTCCTTGCCGAGCAGCTGGGGGCTGCGGGCCCGCATTGCCCAAATTTCATTTGTTCCCCACCAGCTCTGGAAGGATTCTGGGGGGAGTTTGCTGTCAAGGAAGGGGTGAGCAACCAAATTTCTCCTGGGATGGGGTTTTTGCACGGGGCTTGGGAACAACTCACGAATCATCCTGCAAAGGGGATCCATCCATCCATGTCCACTCCTTGCCCTGAGTCGGGATGGTGCTGAGCCCCGTCCAGATCCCTGGTAATTCTTTGCTCATGGTCCCAATGAAGTCCTAGGGGAGGAGGAAGCAGACCCCATCTCCCTGTTTTTCCCCCCCTTTCTCTTCCTTTTCACCCCTTCTTCCCCGTTTTCTCCTCCTCCCCATTTTCCCCCCCATCCTTTTTCCCCACTCTCCCTCTTTTCCCTACCTTATCCCTCTTTCCCCCTTATCTCTTTTTCTCCCCTTTTTTCCCCCCTTCTCTCCCTTTCTTCCCCCTCCTCTTTTTCCCCCCTTCACCTCCTTTTCTCCCCCTTCTCCTCTTTTTACCCCCCTCCATCCCTCTTTTCTCCCCTTTCTATTATTATTTTATTATTTTATCATTATTATTCCCCCCTCTTTATTATTATTTAATTTCCCCAACATCTGATTGTCTCTGCAATTTGGGCAGGCAGCATCAGCTACAAAAAAAAATCGATTGCAGTCGCGATGCTTCTCTTTGGTCCTTTACCTTCTCCTCCATGCTCTTCAGCACCACCAGCTCTGCCCTCCTGTCCTTGCAGTCACCTCCTGCCTCTTCCCAGGACAGGGTTTTTGCAGAAACCCAGTAGCATTTGGTGGCGAAGGGCTGCCAGCCCGCAGGGCAGAGCCAGCAGCCCTCGGCACCTGGGGCAGGGGTTGGGGACATGAGCTGGGTAAGGGGCGAAGCTGGGAGACCCCTCCCCAGGTCCCTCCCAAGCTTTTCTCAACCCCTTTTGTTTTTTAGGAGAAAAATCTTTATGAGAACTGGGGGGAAAGCTGGGGTTGGAGGGATAGGAGCAGAGGTTGAAGGTACAAAGAGGGGTGCATGGAGAGGGGAAGGATAAAGGTGACAACACGGAGGGAAAGCAGCAGGATGGGGAGTCCAAGGGGGCTTTCCTTCACCGTTGGGCCCCATTTTCTTCATGGAGGGGCCCAAAGCAAGCCAACACCCCCATAACAGCGTGGGCTACCTGGTGTCTGGTGGCTCTTGGCCTCGCACAGCCGCTCTCTGAGCCCCAGCTGGAAGTAGTTCAGGAGCAGTTGGAGTTGGTGGTGTCCTTGCCCAGGCAGGATTCCCAGGAGCACGAGCCAGTGAGATTGAGGCTGTTTCCATCTGAAATTGGGGGGCGGGATGGGTTTGACCCCGGGATGCAAGCAGTGGGGTGAAACCCTTGTGCAGAGCCACCCTCGGCGTGGGATGGAGCAAGGTGCTGCCAGAGGGAGCAGGGATTTGTGGCAGCACAGGCATCAAACCCACAAAACAAACAAACAAACAATAAAAACAGCCTGGTGGGTCCAGGAGATGTTCTCCAAATAGAGGCAAAATACGGATCTGCCATGGCTTTTTTGGGGGGGATTTGATTTGTTTTTCCCCCGCCACTCACCGTGTCGCTGCAGCAGCCACACCACGATGCCCGCCAGGACGGCGGCCCCAACCCATCCGGTTCCCATTATCACCCAGTACCACCGGCGACCTGCAACGGGACCCGTATTGGGAGAGAAACCCACATCGTCGCCATCCCTTCCCTGTTTTAACCCCCTTCAGTTTGGTGTCCACGTCATGGGGACAGTCACATCGTCCCCCCTCCCCCCTCACCCTGCATCCTGCAAGGTGGCTTGGAGGGGAGCTGAGAAGCAAAAAAAAACACCCACAAGCTGCCTCCCTCACTTGGCCGAGGTGATGAACAGCAGCTCAGCTCCTTGCACCCCATGCTGCACCTGGAGGGGGCTTGGGGGGGTCCTGGCTCAAGGGAAGGGCCCAAATGAAGTCTTGGGGTGCTCAAATCCACAATTGCTGCTCGGTTGCAGCCCGCTTGCAGAAGCCCTCGAGCGAGGTGAGAAAGGGAGCGTGCAAAAGCTCTGCAGGTAGCGGTGTCCTCGGGAAATTCTCCTTGCAGCACATTTCAGAGAGATTTGGGGAAAGAAATCTGCTCGTGCAGCTGCTCTGCCCCGTAGTGGAGGTGGACAGCAAACATCCTTGAGGAAAATGAGGATTTGGGCCAAAAAAAAAAAAAAAAAAAAAAAAACTCTTCTTCCTGTGTTTTCCCCGCCCCATTCTAGGGCCCAGCAGCTCCGGAGTGGCACCAGGGACAGCACCAGCACTGTTTGTAGGGCGTCCAGCCCACCTCCCCTAAAAAAAATAGGCCCAAAGCCCAGAGGACCCCTGCACCCATGGGTACGAAGCAAATCCACTCACCAGGAGGCTTTGGGAGCTGTGGGATGCCTCTGGGACCTGGTGGCAACTCCAGGTCGGTGTAAACCGTTGTCAGCGCCATCGCCAGCAGTCCCCAGGGAGCAGCAGAGCCAGGTGCGGGGGCAGAAAAAGAAAATTATTTATTTTATATATATATATATTTTTTTTTCCTGGAGGTAAAGCTGGGTGAAGCGGCGCTGGGTGTCTGAGCCTCGCCTGCTGCCCTCTCCTCCCCAACCTGCTGAGGCCGCCCACAAAAAGCGGTTTCCGAAAGCGAAGCAGCCTCTGAGAGGTGCAAAGGGAAGGACATTTTATTTAACTAGCATAAAACTTAAAATATATATATAGCAAAAAGAAATATCAAAATAAAAAGCATTGAAAAAGCAATAGTAACCCCTTCTTCTCCAGGAGTGCGGGTCAGGGCAGGGCTTTCATCTCATTTATTATCATGTTTGTATTGCAATTATCTTCTTGCACAGACGTTTGTGCACCTTGGCACCAAGCTGGGGAGGGGAGCATAACGCCCTTTTCCATGCAGTTATCCCAAAATTCCACTTAGCAATCAGTACCTCTCCCTTTCCCACCTTTGGAGGTGAGGGTAAAACCTTGGAGGGGGAAGAAGAAGCAGAAGCCACCAGCGCTCAGCCCCTTTGCCTCCAGCACCTCTGCAAGCCAGGGACAGGTATAAGGGATGGGGATTTTAGCAAAAATAAATAAAATGAAATAGATTTTAGGGTAGAATCTGCATGGCTGCTCCCTCTCTAACATTTTTTGCAAAACTGTTGCAGAACTGTTCCCTTGACAGCAGCAGCGGGTGGTTTAGCACCTTTTCAGAACCTCATCCACGACAAGATTTAACAGATTAACACCTCGTTATGTTTTGTGTCTTCATTTAATTTTTAAGCCACCAAACCCCAAACCTCCCTGTCTTCAGCCCTTCCTGCCTCTGGCCTTTTGAATTTTCTTGGTTTCTCTTGGATTCTGCACTTTCTCTTTTAAATAACCCCCAGGCGAATTTCTTTTCATGCACAAGAAATTTGCAGCAGCAAGAAGTCCACGCCAGGATGAAATTTCCTTCCTATTTTTATTTTTCGTTTTAATTTATGGGCCCCTTCCAACAAGGGATATTCTATGATTCTGGTTTTTAAGTCCTAGCATCCCTGTTTCCTCTGATTTATTTTTGCTCCTTTTCACCCCATAGTTTAGTACCTTCATTTATTTTATTTTAATTTATATTCTCATGAATCGTGGGCAAGCATGAGGAGATGCTTCACCCCAAACATCACCCCCATTTTCCATAAATTTCTCCACCAAAAGTCTTTGGGAATACAGGCATAGAAGAGCCACCTCATTAAGAAGGTTGGATGTAATGATTTCGTCAACGAACCTTGCTGCATTTATCAACTAAATTCAGGTTTGAGATATCTGAGCTCACATCGCAGCCTCTATACCCCAGAGCAAAGAGTACAAGGGTTGCAGAGCAAAGTGGTGGAAACGTCTCCTCTGTTTGGGGTGGAGAGGACAAAATTTGGTGGAATTAATGACTGAGAGAAGGTTTTCGTGGAGAAGGGGTTGCACAAGCCTCTGTGGTTGTTGGTGGTGAACCATCTGAAGAAATGCTCCAGGGGAAGAAATGGGTGAAAAACCTGCAAAATTTTCCCACTTTTTCTGCAGCCCATCCCAAAATCCAAAACACCTTCACACACCAACCAATGCCAACAAGGTGACGGCTCCCATCATCTCGGCACGGATCCCCCAGACCCTTCTTGTCCCCTCTTAGGCTGGGGAAAACAACTGAAGCCCTGAGGTTTCCTCCTGCAGCAGCAGCGCTCTGCTCTCCCTCGTGCTCTGTGAGGTACTGGAGGATGTGGCTTTGCTCTGCAGGTTGTTTTTTGGTCAAATAAAGCAGACGAGAAATCATCTTTCTCTACCAGACAGCCCCGAACGGGGATCCCAGGGCACAGCAGAAAGGATGTGTCCATCCCATTGTCCTTTGCCTACGTTTTGTGTCTTGTACAAATTCATGTTGGGGATTTTTAGGTGTCCTTTCAACACCCAAAATTTTGGTTCAAATGATTTTGCATCCACTGTGTTTTATTATTATTTTTTTTTTTGTAAATAGGTTCCTCTTCCAAACTCCATCCTTCATCCAAAACCCAGAGCTTGGTCCATCCCAGTAGCCCGTCCCATCTTTCCTGCTTCACCCCCTCTCTTTTGGGGCTGGAGCTGCCCAAAACTAACCTATAAACCCCCTTTTTATTCGACCGCCTCAAACACAACCTTTCCCAACCCAAAACACATTATTATCACCTTATTTTCTCCGGTAGAGGGAGCAACACACAATGACTACTCCTGCCCTGGATCACAGAGGCTTCACCCCAGCTGAGTCAAAGCTCCCTCCAGGCATGGGTCCCAATTCTGGAAAACTTCAAAAATCTGCGGATTAAAATTGAGCTTTGGGTTTGCAAAGGGCATGGAGTAGGGGAATTGAGCCGGGCAAAATTCATTTACGCTTGCAGGGAGCAAACCAGCTATAAAGCTGCCACACAGCTTATAATTAAACCCTTTTTCTCCATAAAAGGGATGTTTTCACCAGTCTGTGGCCAACCTAAAAGTGCTCTTTCAAACCCAAGTGTGAAGAGACGCTGCTCTAGCTTTAAAGATAAAATTGGGGAAAAAAATAAAATTGAAAGATGGCTTTCTTGCAAAATTTGTCGTTTTTGAAGGAAATGGCGGTTGGACCTGATGATTTCTTGAGGTCCCTTCCAACCCCTACAATTTTATCATTCTTGAAAACATAAAGCAAATTTCTAGAGATTCCTTCTGCCTTGGTGGCAGAGGAATTTGGTGCTCTGGTTACTGCTGGTTTAAAAGCAGAAAATATGGCCTGAATATATGGCATTTGATGGAGAGCTTCCAATGCCTTCTCATTGTGTGCTGCATGTCCTGCAGAGCTCCTGTGCCTCCAAGAGCTGCTCACACCTTTGTCTTGGAGAAAATATGTGTTTTAGCAAACGGGCAGGTTTCTAATGGAAATGTGCGCTTCTCTTTGTATTTTTATTTTTTGGCCACTCCTCCTCAATATTTTATTAACAAGGGGAGTGGTTAGAGCAAGGGGCAGTATGTAAAAGGGGAAAAAAAGAAACGTTTCTCAGCACACCAATCGCTGATCCACAGCTTTGGTAACACCCCTACTCACACAGCATTGGAGGAAGCAGGGAGAAGAGAGATTAGGAATAATGAAAATGCAGCATGACATAATTTCCTGGGAATTGTTCCAGTGACGAAGCTACACCCTGCTGGCACAGGCAGAATTTCTGGATGCTCTGAATAATCACAGCTGAGACTGGAGGAGGCTCGCGACAGCAGCACAGCCTTTAACCACACAGGTGCTGGGACATGCCTGGGGAAAAAATAATAATACATTTTGGGGGACTTTAGGGAGCAATTTGCAATGCCAAAGGTGTCCGGGATGAGGAGAGCAGCCACGGGTGCACAAATGCACACAGCCGCTTGCTCCGCCTCCTTCCCACTGAATTTCCACGAAATGCCTGGTCATCTTGCTCAGTGCTGTGTGAAATCCCCGTCATTTATCTCTTTGCTGCCCAGATGTTTCATCCTCCCTCCCCCAGCACACTTTTCCCATCAGATCCATCCCTCGTGCTCCTGGCAGGGTCCTTCAGGCTCCCCAAATGTGCAGAGACTTGCTGCATCGTATGGGACTTGATGTCCTTTGGGACGTGGAGTCCTGCTACCGAAACCCTGCCACGTAAACCCACAACACATGGAGACAGACTCCCTTTCTGAGCCCTAGCCGTGTGCTTGCCCATCCCAAGGGGAAAAATCATCTTCATCTCCTGGGCGTCCTCCTCGCCCTTCTCCCCTTTGCCCTCTGTACCCACAAGAAAACAAACAACTAAACAAAAGATAATCCTATTTTGAGGGACAAAAGGTTATTTTGAGGCAGCCAAGGAGACCTCAAACATCCTCAAAACTTCAGTTTTGCCCTAGGAAGAGGTGCGTCAAAGCCACATTACTGTGACCCCCACTTTGCATGCAAGTCCTTGCAAGCCAGCTCAGACAATAAATGTTGTATTGTGCTTTAAGTGTTACTGCAGTACGTGCAGCATTTACTCACCGGGGGCCTAAACTCCTTCCCGGCTTTCTTCAATAAAAGTAACAGAGGATTGCTTCCCTTTCACTTTTGTTATCAGGCAAACTTTATAACCTGTGTTCAAGTGCCAGCTAGTGAGGTTTGAGTCACTTTGCACATATTGGTCATGAGAGGCGTTCCTACTGCCACTGCTCGTCTGCAAGATCACAGGCTGAGCAATACCCCTCCCCTCGCTTTAAGTTTAACTCCCTGCTTCTGCAGCAGCTCCTTCACTGAATTGCAGCACAATCAAGACATGAGACACCAGGAGTAGACAGACCGCTCTTAGGGTAAGTCCACGTGTGAGCAGCAAATTCGGGCCGCTGAGCAACACAATGCTCAGGTAGGGGCTGAAATGGGAAGGGAAGGAGCAGCCAGTCAGGAGGGGTTTCCATCTTCTTCTTTTTTTTTCTTAAGATTTTTTATTTGTTCCCTTGCCCTCTCCCACTTTTCTACCCTCTGTCTCTTTCTCGCTTTTCTTTATGTGTTGTGCTGTGTTTTTTTTTTCTTTTCTTCTTTTTTTTTTTTTTTTTCACATTGTCCTCATTCTCAAATGGGAAGAAATTTATCTAACATTTGCTGTTGTGACAAAATTGAAAGCAGCAAGACCTGAAGTCACGTCCTTTGCCGCCTTCTCACCTTGTCTTCTCCTCACCTTCTCCCCCCTCTGGTGTTTATGGGTTTAATAATAAAGGGCTCATTTTTTCAGTCCTAGATTAACTGGTCCAGGGCAAGAAACCTGTGCCATCTACCAACGGCCTTGCTGTCACATCTGCTCATGCAGAAATGGTTTTTCGTGCCCCTTCCCATAGGTGTGGCTGGGACCTATCCTGGCCACCTTCCAATGAGATCTTGGGTGTCTGTGACACAGAAAGGAGGTGGGATGGGATCCTACTCCAGCAGCCTTTGGTCCTTCCTTGGCCCTACCTCAGTCGGTAGAGCATGGGGCTCTTAATCCAGGGTCATGGGTTCGAGCCCACGTTGGGCGCCAAAAAGACTGTCGTGGTTTAACCCGGCGGCAGCTACACACCACGTAGCCGTTCGCTCACCCTCCCTCTCTGGGACGGGGGAGAGAAATGGAAAGTGAAGCCCGTGAGTTGAGATAAAGACAGTTTAATAAGACAGGAAAATAATAATAACAATATAAAATAAGAATAAGAATAATACAATGGTGATAATAGTACTAATAATAGTATGTATAAAAAAGTGATGCTCAATGCAATTGCTCACCACTCGCTGACAATGCCCAGCCCAACCC